AACACACACCTCTCTCTCTCTCTCTCTCTCTCTAACAGAGAAAGTCTGAGCGGACCGGGTCAATCAGCACTTTCAAGCTGACCCCTTATATGTCCCTGGACTCAATGGGTTGGATGAAGCAGCACTTTCAAGCTGCCACCCTTCTGTGTCCCAGATTCAGCACGTCCCTGTCCCATCTTTCATGCAGATGAGGCTAGGGGAGTTGTCTCTGCTCTCCATTCTGTATGCAAATGGAGATGTCCTAATTTTGTCACCCTTGTCAGGAAGGGTCTAGGTGTGTCTCCCAACACCCTTCAGTGCTCTCTGCAAGCCTTTTTTTCTGATTGGTCTTGGTTCAAGCAGAGACCGGGGGTGGGGGCGGGGTGTCCCTCATGAGTCAGACAGGCCAGACACTGCGCCCTGGTTTTCCAAAAAACACAGAGCTGACTGGTATCAAGTCCCCCCGTTGATGGGGTGCTTGCGCTGAGCGAGTATCCCCATCACATCCTTACTCTGTGGTACCGGGTCTGATCTTCCGTCCATTGCAGCCGCCGCATCAGTCGTTGTATCCAACAAACCAGCAGAACCAGACCAATTGCTAGTATCATTTGGAAACCAATGATCACCACAATGGGGTGAAGCATGATATTCAAAAGACCTGTTGCACTGGGGCTCCAGCCAAGCAAAGTCTCCCACCAGGAGTGGCGGCCTGTGTTTTTGACTGTGGCTGCCAGCCTAGAGATCTCCTGGTTGTGGTGTTGAATCTCGAGTTTGTCATTCGCCCCCAAAGTTCAGAGCCTTTGCCGCTCAGCCTATAAAGAGGGATGAGGTAATAGTCCCTTAATGGCAGTGAGACCCATTCCCAGTGAAATGGGGTAACCTCCTTGTAGAGCTCAGGATAGGCACTTAGATGTTGTACAGTTCATATAGGCACAGTATACTTAATATCACAACTAACAATGGTGGTTACAGTACAGAAACAGCGATTAACATGAGCCACCATGGGTTGGATCCAATGTCCATCAATCCATACAATATTGCATCTTGTCCTCACACACACATATGCTTTACCAACATAGACAATAACAGACCCCTCTTCCTGGATAACATTGAAGGAACAGTGAGACTTATTCCCAGGTTACCCATTCGCCCCAACCCTTATGGCTAGTTCCAATCAAGGGAGCACATACAGGGGCAATGTGAGAGATATTCATGCCCTCTAAGTGGATTTGAACCTCCTTCAGAGAAGTCTGAGGTTGAAGAACCAAATGTTCTTGTTGATCCACACATGGGGTCCTGAAATTGGGGCTCTGAAATGTCGGCGGGGAGGAAGGTTTGTGATCAGAGGGTTGAAAATTTTAAAAAAAATTGTTGTTGTTGGCCCAATTCCACTCTGTACCAACCGGGCTCATGAAATCCCTCCGAAATGGCAATATGCCCATAAAATTTAAACCAAATTGCTGGCATGAGCTTGTTACCATGTGTGCCCTTTAATGGAACTACCCAGTCTGGGGGACCTTGATGAATCAAGTCATGTCCAGCTAAAGTTCAGTTCAGCAGTTTCCAGTTTATGAGGAACCGTGTGATATTTTTGCCTGCTGGCGTGATCAGAGACAGCTGCAGTTCATCTCTAGGTAACGGAGGTGTCCGAGTTCCAATGATAATGATGACACATAGGAGGGTGGTAGTTCTCCAAACAGCAGAGGAAACCAGGGTTACCCTGCACCTTCTGCCACCCCGGAGGCTGTCACTGGGTGTGTTTGAAGGTGTACGTCCCGTTCAAGACCACAATGGCTTACAGAAGAATGGGACAGAGTCTGGAGTGGTCTTAGTTTCATAACAAAACTTGAGTGACTCTCCGGTGGCACTCTGGGTGCAATTGGCAATGCTTTC